GCAGTTTTGGTGAAGAGTCTACCACGTTCGGTTTTCAGCGCACCTGCACTTCTTTATTTTTCATTCTCATTTTCGCCCTTCGGACTTTTCCTTTGAGGGTGTTAGGGTGCAGGGTACAAACGAAGTAAAATGACATAAACTCTTCTTCTTTTATTGCATTCTTCACTGTTTTGCAGTTTTAGTGAAGGGTTTCCCAACTTTGCACATTCTTGTACACTTTTTCAGCGCACCTGCACATTTTTGACAGGGTGCAAGGTACATCTAAGTAAGACCCTCACGATAGATAGGACAACTATCATAAGGATGCGGGTGATGGTAGCAGCCCTCCTACTGATCAACAGGACAAAAACCATTCAGGTAAGCAACTTCGTCACAGCAGGAGCCAGGGCGGGTAGCATTAACCATACCTCTGAAGCATGCACGACAGAGGGCATGTTGGTTGCAAACCATGACGATTGTGGGGCATTCACCATCACAGTTAAGTGCACATTCGCTATAGCGCCCGCAGACACAGATGGGACATACTGCATCTGGATGTAGAGGACGTTCACAATCCGGATACAGGTGGCATTACTGCCGACAGAGGGCTCGAAAAATTATACGGTTGTAGTGATGTCGACAAAGTCGATGCTTTCCACAACCAAGTGTAATTGTGACAGTGATCTCACAAAGAAGAAGGTCACAAGGTGTTAGTGCAAGACTAAAGCAGGCACGATGCCCGACATGGAGGTAGGCACGGAGACATACACGAAAACAGGCATGGAGACAGGTGCGGAGGCAGGCACAAAGACAAGTGCAGAAGCGGGGATGGAAGTACACGAGGTACCCATAGGGTCAGTAATCTGGAGGGAGACAGACACAGAACTAGGCACAAAGGCGGGCATGGAAGTACACGAGGTACCCACAGGGTCAATAACCTGAAACAGTTGCAGATTAGGGTAATTACGCACGAGATCACAGATGCCAGTATTAGTTTGCACCATAGCACCGCCATTCCATAATTCTCAAGAACAAGAGGCACAGACAAGAGCGGTGTAGTGGCCAGGTGAATGTAAAATACAGACACAAACGTGCGAACAGTGGTCCGGATGGCCACCCGAAGGGGCACGCTGCATATACAGCCCGCGTCTTATCAAAGCAGTCTCCAAAACAGAGACATTGAATCCCCCTTGTGGAGTGTAATTACTATCTTGCGGGGGATGCAAAGTCTGGTTATCGCCATATAACTCACGTTCCCGAGCATCAAGATCGGAAGCAATGGCCAAGAAATCAGAGTGAGTATATGGTTCCCGACGATAGGCTTGTAAGCAGATGTTAGTAGGCAGCGAGGCCACACAGATTCGGTGGAGGCCGGTCACGCGGATTTTCTGCAAAATCTCCTACAGTCCCCTTGCCAAGTTCATCCTCGGATGGTCCCTCGCCATCATCCCTCCTATTTTGTGTTATATTGTCACAAACACGGTTACCAGCCCGTACATACGGAGGTCCCCGGGCAGACCTCCGTACGTACGGGCGTTCGGGGTCCCGTATAGGGTCCGAACCCGACGGCATTCGGCCCCCGCCAAAAATTATTTCGGGGCCTAAAAATCAGTATTTTTTTCTGATTTTTTTTTTGTGAGTTCTCTATGACGTGAGGTACATGCCTGTAAATTTTCAAGGCATTTGGCTGAGCCAGATAAGAATTAAAAATCGCCAACGATGGCGGTGTCAAAACGTGCTCGCCCACGTATTTTTTCACTTTTTACTTTTTGTTTTTACTTTAGTTCGGGGGTCTAAACTTTTTTAGTGGGTTTTGTATTATGTGAAGTACACATCTGTAAATTTTCAGAGCATTTAGCTATGCCAAAAAAAAAAAAAAAAATCGCCAAAGATGGTGGTGTCGAAAACATGCTCACACACTCGTTGTTTTCCCGTATTTTATTTTTATTTCAAATTTGGTAAGGAATTCGAATGTAATGCTCAGGCAAATCTTGTTTAATTTATTTTTCTCCATAAGATATCTTTTTTTCATATTTTTTTGATGACTTTGGTTTTTTTTTTTTTTTTTTTTTTTTGGGTCCGCGTTCGGCCCGAACGGCCGAACGCATCCCCAAGGGG